AAAAATTTGAAAATATTTTGGGCTTCTGCTTTTGCTATTTAAAAGCTGGCTGTTCAATTTGCATTACTCCTTAATAAAAAATTGGCTTTTTTCATTGCTGCCTTTTAAGATACTCCTTGCATCTTTGAAATTCTGCTGTTCTGCCAGTATTACCGTGTGGCTGCCTTAATTGGTGTAATAGATAATTTCAACAGTGAAAAATACTTCTTTTATTTTTATTTATTTATATTTTTTTTGCATCCAAGTTTTTCAAGGCAATACTGCCCATCATCCTTTCAAGAGATGGAATCTGTTTCTTTACATTTTGATTCTAGATTTGACCAAATGACTGGCTTGGGACAAATAAAACACCAGCAAAAGAGATGATGTGGAACAACCTGGAGAGGCACAAGTGCACAGGGGCTTCCTTTAGGCTTATGCTTAGATTCCTGCAGCAGTCATGTAAATAAGCCTGAGCCAGCATGGATGAGGAGACCACATGGAGCAGACTGAGGAGCAGGAGGCCATAGCCACCCCATTTCCAGATGTGACAAGGCCACCTCAGGTCCCCCTGCCCACTGGTGCCAGGCCAGACCAGAAAGATAACCGATCCACCCACAGAACTGTGAGCTAGGGAAAATACCTCCACACACCTCTAAGGGTCCCAAGTGACTTGTTAGGCAGCAGGTGGTAACACACACTCTAACTTAATTTTCTTCCTACAATGAGAATTGATCTCTTTGATCATAAACTCTATATATGATCTTTTGGAATTTTCAACTATACGTGTATAGACACATGCACACATACATACATGCACATATACATATATACGTACACACATACTAAAGGGATAGGTAAACATTTTTATATAAATTTGTTTTTTATCAAGGCATGGTTATGCATGCCTGTAATCACAACATTCAAGAGGCTGAGGCAGGAGGATTGCCATGAGTTTAAGGCTAGCTTGGGCTTACAAAGTACGCTCAGAGACCGCCTGAACTACACAGTGAGACCCTGTCTCAAAAAAAAATTGTGATTTCTATATTTCAGGCTCTTCCTTATGTTCTGCTCTCTCTCATACACTGTTAAGATAATTACTTTGATGACATTTTCCATTTCATTAATGCTCTCCTTGCCTGTGTCTAATCTAATGTTCAGCAGTTTTACTTCGATGACTGCACTTGTTATCTCAGGAAGTGCTTCTCAGTTCAGTTATTCCTGTATATATTTATCATCTCTAATCACCATGCACCCTTTAATTTATTATTTTTGTCTTTACATTTTTAAGATAAGAATCTTAAAGAGAAACTAAAACCAAGAAAGAAAGAAACTGGGTTTCCTATATATGCCTTTATGGAAGGAACAAAAAATATGAGAAGAGGAGTCAACAAGAAAAGGTCCTCAGTCCCCAATCCTGAGAACACTGATCCAGGAAAGGTGAATGCAAAGGAGAATGAGGACAGCAAACATGCAATATCAGACACAGCACCAATAGACATAAAGCGCTATCTTCGGCTATCTCATATACAAGTTCAAAAGTGAAGTATTTAACCAAATAAAGCAAGATATAAATAGAATAATTAAAGAAATGCTAAGTACCTCCCAAGAAAAAACAGATGGAAGAATGGAAGAACAAAAAAAAAGTCCAGGAGTGAGAAAGTTCGGGGGGAGAGAATTTTTTGATGGAGAAAATAGGGAAAACATAGAATAAATGAAGCAGGTTCAAAGAGATTACCAGGAAATCAAAAACTCCACTGAAAGCTGGCAAAAGTGCTTGAAAGAAAGTAAGAATAGATTATCCAAACTGGAGGACAGGTTTGCAATGTGGGAACATGAAAGGAAAAATTTCTTAAAAATAACAAGGAAACAAGCAGTAACAATACAAAGGCTAGGAGACAACGAGAGTATCTATAACTTAAAAATAAAAAATATGAATGAAGAAGCAGGGGTACAAACAAAGGAACTGCAAAGGCTATTCACAGAAATAATTAAGGAAAACTTCCCAAACAGAGAAAAAGGAAAAGATACCCAGATGTATGAGGCATACAGGACTTCAACCACCTACAACCAAAACAGAACTACACCCAGGCATATAATAATCAAGATCCCAGAAATCCAATATAAGAACAGAATATTAAAAGCTGTCAGAGACAAGAAACAGATCACTTACAAGAGAAAACCCATCAGAATTATGGCAGACTTCTCGGCACAAAGCACCAAATCGAGAAGAGCATGGGGCAAAATAATCCAAGCCTTGAAAGAAAATAACATCCAGCCCAGATTGATTTGTCCTGCACAATTGTCACTAGAAATTAATAGAGAAACAAGATGCTTCCAAAATAAAGAGGAACTGGGGGAATTCAGAACTACCAATCCAACTCTACAGAGAATATTACAGGACATTCTATAAAGAGAGAAAAGCACCAGGATTTCAGAAACAGTGGCAAAAAGGCCCCAATGAATGGAGCAAAAAGCGAAATGAAGAAGACAAAAAGACAAGCTAATGATGGAAAAAGAGCAAAACAGAAATGAGGTACAGAAGGTTGGATATAATTTCTAATAATCATGGCATAGAAAAAAAGAGAGAATTGCAGGCAGAGAGGATCAGGAGGTAGGGTCCACCAGAGGCTCTTTATAGGAAATATAATTAACCTGAAGAAGGGTATATGGACCAAAATCAAATATGAGAAAACAGAACTCGATGTGATAGGGAACCAGAGAGTAATAGGGGCAACTGGACCAGTATTTATGGATACGTTGAAAAGACAGGCTTCAATAAGTGCAGAAATACAACTAGAGATCAAGTCCAGGAGTGAGAAAGTTCGGAAACACTTAGGTAAATAGCAGGTGGCTCCCCACAATATAAAACCAAGAGTGTTGGGGAGACCCAAAAATACACAGTACATCCTGCGGGAGTGAATGGGGAGGAATAGTCTTTAAAAAGACTATTCAGAAGATATTGCTAATACTGTATCAAGAATTAAAACCTTATTACTCACACTACTCTGCCTAGATGGAACTTGTTCTGTCCCAGTTTATATACAAGCACTGGATCTGAGGGTGCAGACTGCTGTCCTGAAGATATCAGGATATAGCATAGTTTCCTATTAATTTAATTTCTTATTAATTTAATCCGGATCCCTCTATGACTTATACTGTTGTGTCATGACTGATCTTAGTTAAATCTGATTTGTTTAATTGCTGCTTATTATTGACAGATTTTATTCAAAACTGTTAGGTTGATGGTATCAAGTTGGAGAGTATAGACAACTATACTGAAAATGACAATGATTCACTAGGATACCCATTCTGATTTGATTATTATCGGCTTATGTAGCTCTAAACTATCTATAAAGAATTTCTATTAATTCTGTTATGTACTGATATATTTAATTATGCTTTATCTGATGATATAGCCAGTTCTGTTGATGATAACAAGAGACAGCACAGTGACCATGGTAGAACTCCTTGTACAGCAGTTTTATATGCCTTTTTAGTTTTATGTGTCTATAGGAATATGTTTTCTTCTGTCCTGCTTTGTTCTCTTTCTCCCTTTAATATGGAAAGGATAGATGTTAAGACTCATGCTTGTGTAAAACCTATAAACAGTTTATGAGAACTGGTCTTATGACACGTGATGAAATGAACAAATACTTTGAAGGAAAAGGGGGGGGCACTGCAGTACCCAGTGCTGATTCCAGAGTGTCATGATGTGAAATCCAGCAATACTATCAATCTCTGTTCAGAATGATTTTAATCTGCTATGCTTTGTTTGGTCTCAACATAAAAGAAAATATGGATAAATGCATACATGTCTAAGTGCATAGGATTGATAGCCATATTACTTAGTTTTTGTTGGATAATTGAACAGAACTGTTTGCAGTGTCCCTGATTGAATTCTCATTTATATGTTCCACTTTTGTAGCTTGAACAATTATTTATGGGGGGACAATACGTGTACATCAACTAGTGATTTATTACTGTTTATTTCTTTTCTTTGAAAGTATGTACTATTTCTGCTGTTTTTTGTTTTGTCTTTCTTTAAATAAAATTTTTTAAAAAAAAGAATCCTAAAGATACCCTTTATAATTTCAATTTATGTAGTCCCAAGGGGGTCAACTGACCACTTTGTTCTTTCTTCCCACTGTCACTCACAGTATCTTTCAAAACTCTTTGTCATAGACCTGATCTGTGGACGTCCTGGAAGATCTACACCAAGTATGACTTTCTGCAAAAATAACCTGCATGTTCCTCCCCAGAAATTTCTCTTCTTCTCAGCATAAAGATGGATTTTTAAAGATTTCTGTTGCATTTAATCCAGCACTTACATGTATTTTGAATCAGGAAGACTGTTGTAATACCTGCTCTGCCATACTGCCAGAGGCAAAAGTCTATGCTTCTTTAAAAGAACAAAACCATCTTAAAACTTCATGGTGTTTTTAGGGTTTTCAATGCCTTTTATCATTGTGTCCTCTTGTTTTCATGAAGTACAATAAAGTAGTTATCCTCTTTGGACAAAAAGACTAAAGCTTAGGCAAGTTGAGATTCATTCTCTATCACATACACAGGCTTGGTTCTCCAGCTTGAATTAACATAGTCATATTCCACTGAGGGAAACCAACTCCAGTACCACCTAAGCTCCCCAGCAGTGGGAGATCAATGAGGCACGTTCTGAGGATCATTTAAATCCCAGATCATCCTGCCCAGCAGCACCGGAAGCTGTGTGACTATCACTTAGCTCTCTGCCTAATTTCGAGTATCTACTTGACAGAGTCACTGTAACAATGAAATAAGTTAACTCATGTTAAGCACTCAGAAGAGCGTGTGGCACATACTAAGTGTTCAGTTAGCATCAGGAGTTACTACAATGTGCCTTTCCCACTAAGGTAATTATATACACATCTCCAGTATTCAAGTTGAGCAGTATACATGTGCACATATGGACAAATATACTTGTCTGAAATGTATATGAATGAATGGATGAATGAGTGAGTGAATGAATGAAAGTTAGGGCTTACTTTGAATAAACCATGCTTTTGGTTGCGCTGCCCAAGCCATAAGTTGCTTCCTGGGGGAAAGCTGATCTCTGGAGGATCTATCACACGCTCATAAATCCTGTGGAGGCAAAGAACACAGTTACTCATGGACACGAAGCAGGGTGAACAGGTCCGAACACTGCGAAACGACCCATGCCTGAGCTGTTGGTGCAGAGAAAGAGCCAGGCTTGTGGCAAGCAGTAAAGGACAGGGAAGGTCGATGCAAAGCTCTGTTTCCTGACAGCCCTGGACACGGTATCTAGGCCTCTCCTGCTTTTCTCTCATCTCCCTTTCGGCAGGGGAGTGACCACGAGGGAAGCATTTTTCAGCGCCTACTCTGAACAATGAATGTCACACAAACCCTCAGAAAAGTGTTTTCACTTCAATGTTACAGGTAACAATGGGGAGGGTCAGAGTTGGTAAACAGGAGGGGACACAGCACGGAGCAGTGGAATGAGGACAGCGACACTCACCTGCCTGGCTCCTCAGCCCATGCACTTCTCTCTCTGCACCTCACTGCTCCCAGACCTTGCTTCTTGCAGCTGCCCATCTCTACAGTAACCTGAGGCAACCCTCTAAGCAGCAGGGCAATATCTGACCCCATGCTCAGCCTACCTGACCCCATGCTCAGCCTAAAAGTCTAGTCCCTAAAGTCAGCAACCAATCAAAAAACACTGATTGAGCCCTATTTATACTTCCAACTCCTACGTGGCCATGAGAAAATAGAGCAAGAAATCAGGTACATAAAGCCCTGCCTCCATGGAGTAAAAATGAGACATCCTTCAGGGGAAAAAAATCTTTATCTGAAACATTATGGACATCTTCCTAATACACGGCCACAGCTCCAGAATCTGCGGAGATGCCTATCGAGCCTGCACAACAACGGGCTGTCTGAATGGTTACCAAGGTCCAGTTAAGTTAAAAGTGTTTAAATCCATACTCTATGACAGTCCCCTGCAAGTACCTACAGATCACAAGCCTCTGTTTAACCCCAGGCAAGCCCCTCTCTGCTCCTGAAGCTCAGAGGCTCTTGGAGGCTAGAGCTGGAGCCATCTGTACATTTCAGTTTCCCACAGAGCCCTACACACTCCTGCTTTCTTCTGTCTCTCTGCAAAGCCCTGCTCGGGAGTCCTGCTCAGATGCATCCTGGTCAGGACCACCAATCTATCCTCTCGGCTGGGAGGGAGCTCACTGTCTCCTGCCAGGGCTGATGGATGCCCCCCAGAAGCACAAGAACTTAAGATTGTGCAGTTGTGTCAAGGAAAGTGAGGGACTAAGAGCCACTGCAGGTGGGAGGGGTCACACTGCCTCTGTCCTGGGGTCTCAGCCACTCCCACTGCTCCACCCCACCCACACCCCCACACTCCCACACCCCCACACCCAACTTGAAATGTGAAGATTCCTAGCAATAAGTAGGGGGTACCTTTAGGAACCTGACATCCATCAGGTCTTTCTCCACCAATTACCTTCCCATTATAAATGGAGACTCAAAACATAATTAAGGAAAGAATAAGTTTCCTTTCTAAAGATAGGTTGTGTTTTCTTCACAGGAATCTGGTATTTTTGTATGTTACAATAAATAATGTTGGACAAAACAGTTTGTCAGAACTCCTCTCACATGAGATGCTGCTCCATTAAAAAAGGAGTTGTTCCTAACACTCGTGGAAAAACTAGAAACAAGCCAAATTTACAACAAAAGTGAAACACCAAGTTACAGTAGATCAGCTCGAGAGAATATACTGCCGTCATCAGCAGTGATGAATGTGCAGGCTGTGAAGCATGGGCACGGACACACCGAATAATTCTCACCGAGAACATGGCGTGCCAAATTACTTATGCACTGCGGGGATAATGATGCCAAAATTATGTTCAGTCTTGAGAAATATAAGAAAGACTTGAGAAAAATGGAAATCACTGAATTTAGGGAAAGAGGTAGAAGAATAATTCTCTATAAGGCTGCTTTACTTATAAATGGAAAATGTTGTCAACCATTTACCTTAGCTCACATTTTAAAACATTTCCCCATCAGAAGGAGAGCAGTCTGCAGTTCAAAAGCTCTCTTTCTGGGGTTCAATACGCTGGAAGATGGGGTTCAAAGGACAGAGTAGGCTCTAAATCAATGTTGATTAAGCGCATGAGTGAATGAAGTACAAAATAATCAAGAAGATCAGCTTCCTCCCTCGGCTCATTTTCTGCAAGCGAAAGGGCTCCTTGTGCCTTAGAAACAGTTGAGGAGGTAAACGCCGGAGGTGGTCAACCATCAGCTAAGGCACAGCAACCCATACACGTGTGTCCAGGTGGGCTTTTTTATTCCCCATAGCAGACATTCCCATCAGAGTCGCCTCCTCCTCCTCCTGCAAAGGAAAATACCTTAGACACTGCTCTCCTGGCAGCCCTATGGATTCCTTCCAAGAGGCAATTCTCACCAGAATTCCATGCAGCAGGCGGAATCAACACAGTGGATACAGACATAGCAATGAGAAGAGAGTTTTAAAATGCAGAAGTTTTTTTAAAGCCCAGAGGAAGGACATACAATGAAGAGGGCACATCAGGCAAATCCACAATGGAGAACATTCCACAGGATGACTGCAGGTGGCCAGGGACACTGGGGCCTGGGATGCAGATACCATGAAAGAGAGGAAGGCTGAAGAACATTTTCCTATTAACAGAGATCAAAGATCCATGAAGACCAAGTACAGGATGGGATCCTAGATCGGACCCTGGGGCAGGAAGATGTTTTGTGAAGGAAGTTATCAGGGAAACTGAAGGTAAGGAAAACCCATAGCGCATGTAATAATATTTATCAATGCTCAACTCGCTGCCTCTGATAATGGGGCAGTATTTATCTAAGTGAGTAGCTTGCGTTTCAGAAATAGGTACTATCGTACTTAGGGTAGAACATTATGAAGTCAGTAACACTTAAAGGTTCAAAACACAGTGTGCATATGAGTACATGGACATACAAAAAAGCACAGTACTATTTACACAGAGGAAAAGCAGAATCTGTGCCGAGTACATGATTTTTCTCTGTACCATTCATATAATTTGCTATGAGATTATTATTTTTTTTTTGTACCGGGGATCGAACTCCTGACCTCACACTTGCCAGGCAGGAGCTTATACAGCTGAGCGAAATCCCTGGCCCTTAAAATTATTTTTAAGTAAAAACTTTTTAAAATAGTTTAAAATCTCTAATATATATATATATATATATATATATATATATATATGGATATACATATCATATACATCCATATATATAAACAACATTCTTATTGTGTTTGTACAGTACAAATAAAACAATGTTATCTGTCAGTCATAGACACTGATAGTGTTTCCCTGCATATGCTTAGGGGGAAGGTGAGGCAGCAAAAAAGGTGAATGAAGGAATTAATGAATGAAAGAACACATGAAAGGCACATTACGCAGACCCATGTTGTTATCATAAACTAAGAAACAGGATCATTCCCGATCCTCCCAGATGGGTGAAAGGCCCCTGCCCACCCGACACACAAACAAATCTAAAGCTTGGCTAAAAGGCAACTACTGACCCCTGAGGCACAGTTCAGGAGCCTGGCTCCTGTCAACAGGTCAGCAGGCCGCAGTGATTACTGCCTACATCCAATGTCACCCAAGTTAAGTAAATAGGGAAGTTAAAGAAAATTGTGAGAACTCCTTGCTCTGCCCTGAGCTGAGGAAATGGACCCTCCCAACACAGGCCTCCAGCTACGGAGGTTTCCTCTTCATCAGTAAATGCCTCACTGCCCACAACACGCAAGCCACCACTCTGGTTCTGGAGATGCACACAAGTGACTTTAAAATGGCCAAGCCCCACGCTCAGAGGCACTGCTGACACAGACGGGCATATGCCTTACACCACATGCAAAGCTTCAGGGAGCAGGAGGAAAAATCAAAGACTACGCGCCCTCCACCTGTCACAGCTGGAGACTTCACGGAAGGCTCCCTGCTGACTGGAATGAGAAGAAAGCACAGTGCTCGGGATGAACCAAGTCTCACCCTGAGCAGGTTCCATAGGTTGCTTTACTTCATCACCACAGCACCAGCACCTGGCAGGTGTGCCTGGCTCAGCATGGTTACACAGCTTCTCCGTGGGAAAGCGGCTTGTGCATAACACCACTGGGATTTGAACTCAGACTCCACAACCTGTGCCATGACCACCTTCCTACACTGCCTCTCAAGGGAAAAGACAGTTCCAGCCATAAAACACCGAATCCAGGCTTCATCCCAAGAGGAACAATAAGCACTTGCAGATCAAACAGTGACACAGATGTTGTCTTCTATGGAAGTCTCTTCAGGGACTGAGAGATCCTGCAGAGCTTTTAAACTGGTTCTGATCAGTTTAAACTGACATGCTCTGTGTGCCTTGCTGTGTCCGCATGTCACAAGCAGGTCCAAAGTGGGATCAATACATGTAATGAATGTTTAAATGTTTACAAAATTATTGTAAGCCAGGTGATCATTATGGTCTACAAACACGCACTAATAAAAAAGCAATGGCTGATTCTGTCTCCTGAGTTGATTCAAAATGTTTCCTATTCATGGTCATTTTGACAATGAGAAAGAGGCAGGAATCTCAGAGACAGGAAACAATGAATACAGTGAATGTGGACACATCATAAAGGTTTTAAGAGCCTGCCTTTCCTTAAGATGGCCCTGGGCAGCAGCTGGCTCCATATTTTTTTTTTATCACAACTCATACAGACACTCATGACAGAGGACTCCAGAACTGCTTCAGAAAGTGGTGAGAACAATGAGATAAATGTGTTCAAATCAAGGGTGGAGGGTATTTTGAGAGAGGGTTAATGGAAATGTGATTCTTACTATAACAATTCCTCAAATTTAAATATGCGCTGTGAAGTTTGATCAGACCTATCTCATTTTCTTTAAAAATGCAGAAGTTTAAGTCATTCAAATACATGACAATTCTTAATGTCACATACTTATTAGGAGAAAAGGAAGAAAAAACTCATGTGACAAAGCACGCAGCCCAAGCTGACTCACCCTCACCAATCCTATTAGACCTTGCCAGATTTATTCAATTCACAGGAAAGGTTTCTG